CCTGCAGTCCCTTGTCCAGGGGCTCAAGAGCGAGCACCAGGAACAGGCCTCTGACCGGAAGCAGAAGAAGGCCACCTGGGACCAGCTGACAAGCCAGTATGATCCCATGTGCTCCTCTCTCACCTCGGTGATGGGGTGTATTGCACTGTGGTTGGAGCGGGCCACCAGCCACCTCCTCCTCCCTCCCATGTCTTCCACTCCTGGCCCCATTTCCACGGAACCCAGGATCAGCTGGGAACTCCCCAGGTGACCTCGGGCTCCACGCAAATGCTACAGCAGCATTTTAAAGGTGCTGTGCTGCACAGCTGATCCTGGGCTCAGCTGTGCGGCACTGCCCCTTTGAAACACCACCTCAACTGCCCAGGGTCAGCTTCATTTCAAAGCAGCAGCGCAGCACTGAGACCAAGGTCAGCTCCACTGCTTTGAAACGCTGAGGCGGCATTTCAAAGTGGCAGCACCGCATGGAGCCTGGGCTCCGTGTGGTGCTGCAGCTTTGAAGTACTCCCTCTTCTCCCCCCTTTGCTGTTTCTATCTGGCAGAGGCAGCGAGGGGAAGGAAACAGACTAGTCAACTCGACTCTATGATAAGCATTTGCTTGTCTACCAGTCCTTAACATCGTTACTGGGGGAAGTGCTCCCCAGAGTAGTCAGAATGTCCCTGGAATTCCTAGTGGGAGGGAAGCACAGGAGGATTCCTCTGCATGCTGCCTCCTGCCACTCCCATTTGCAGCAATTCCTGGCCAATAAGAACTGCAGAACTGGAGCTTGTGGGAGAAGCAACATGTAGAGGACTCCCCCAGGCCTTTCTTCCCTCTGAGAACTGTAGACACATGCCAGCCTCTTCTGAGGAGCTGTGCAGAGCCAAGTGGGGAGCCTTCTAGCACCACCAGCCTTTTCCCCACCCCAACACCATAGAATCATAGAATCATAGAATCATAGGACTGGAAGGGACCTCGAGAGGTCATCGAGTCCAGCCCCCCGCCCTCAAGGCAGGATCAAGCTCCGTCTACACCATCCCTGACAGATGTCTATCTAACCTGTTCTTAAATATCTCCAGAGAGGGAGATTCCACCACCTCCCTTGGCAATTTATTCCAATATTTGACCACCCTGACAGTTAGGAATTTTTTCCTAATGTCCAATCTAAACCTCCCCTGCTGCACTTTAAGCCCATTACTCCTTGTCCTGTCCTCAGAAACCAAGAGGAACAAATTTTCGCCTTCCTCAGTTAGGGTCCTGAGCCAAGCACTATCACCCAGCTCTCCACCCCTGCACCTGTGGCATCCACGGGCTCCCCACCTCCAACCTCAATTTAGTTAAGGATATATAGTGTCATAGGCTGTGAATTTATATTTACTATTCATGACCTGTTAATGACTTTTACTAAAAATACCCATGAGTAAAATGCAGCCTTAGTCATAATTACCAGCAGCAGGCTCTGCTTTAGCACACTGGTGGCTCAGTGGGCTCATATTAAATCATTTTTTTATTGTTATGTTTATTATGGCATATCTTAGAAAGTGTTTTATATCTCATCACAGAAATTTTGAAAAAATGTTTATGGAAAACAGCACTTATTTAGAAGAACACCTATGAACTGGCTACATGACCATGCAAGCTATTTCAACAGCTGTGATGTCATAAACAGAAGCAATTGAGTTATGTTTCATGTTTTTATTCTATTTTGTAAATATACCAAAAGGTCAGGAAAATATAAAAATAAATATAGGTCTTCATTGTTTGTTAGAGCCAGCTGGTGTGACCTTGGTGGACTCCAAGAGGAATCTGAAAAGCTGACTTTTAAGTTCTGTGCTAAATGTTCCCTTAGACTAATGAGGACGTATATTATTTTGTCATTAGGTCACCTTTAAGATATACCACAACACCAGCACAATCACATTCGCGATAGCAATGTGTAGTAGACATATGTATATAGTATCTTTGCTTTACACCTACCTCTATTTCTAGTTTACATTTGCTAAAGCGTATTACACACTAAAGGAAAGGAGTGTGTATGTTCACTTAAGACTGTGTAATCATAGTCTTGAAAGTGTATTGTCCAACAAATAAATGTGATTGGTAATAAGAAGCATTTAGTTTGATTTTCATTTTTTAAAGTGTATTTGGAACCAATGAAATGTGAGAAATTGAAAGCTCCAGAAACTGAAGTAATCAGAACAGTTACAGCAATGCCAGTATCTCTAAAACTACCTCATCCTTTCACTGAAGGAAGTACTTTAAGCAGTCAGAAGATACTTCTGGCTCATTTTAATCCTTGGTCTCTTTGTTGAGACTCATAGCAAGGGTGCCAACTGCAAGTTCCTAATCATGTGGGCATTTATCTCCTTGTGGAATGGACTGAGACCATCAATTCATTTCACTCAAGTCATCACACAATCATATTCTGACATAAATTGGATTGAAACCAATGGCAGGCTCATCTTATTTCACATCCAGAAAACACCAGCTTGTTGTTCATATATTTTAATTACATATTTTTACTAAATACAAATAACCTAAACTTTTCACATTGGCTGCACTGGCCAATAAAACTAATTTTGAAAAGTAGCCCTGTAATGCTTACCTACTTTAAATAGATAAGGCAAGGCATAAAAGCCAGTCCAAATTTGTATGATTTTGAAGTAAAATGGTAAAAAAAAAAACAGTTTTCCCTCCAAAATAAAACTTTAAACATATTCCTTGTTCTTTAAAGGGGGACATAACTGGAAAGTGACTAGTTTCAAAGAATTCAGTGTTCTGATACAGCCTCCTGATAATGCAATGATAGGATTTTTTAAAATTGTTTTTAATTGTTTTGGATTTTCTGCTCATCTGCTTATTTCTAAAGGATATTTTGATTATGATCAAAACCAGAATAACTCCTGGTAGGATTATCTCTCTACCTATCATCTTTTTGCACTTATCTCCCTGATAACGCATTCACTTTTAGTACTACTACTGCTGCTATTACCAGAATGCACAAACGAGTTTTCCCCAGAGACAGTGCATACAAACTCCTTGCTGCATAAAACCAGAAATTAAATTGATTATCAATAAAACAGTGAAAATAACCATAAACAAAGTACTATCAAAGACATAAAGCAAACAAACTGCAAAACTTAAGAGGAAAAAACCTATTTCCCTCCCCTTTCCAACCCCTTTATTTCTTGTAACAATAATAAATATAATAATTTCTTATGGAAGTGAGATGTTCACATTGATACCCTGCCTTTAATTACATTTTGTAAGAGTGAACATAGGGCAGAGTATAAATTTAAGTAACTCTAAAACATGGTAAATAAAGTAGTTGATTCACTAACTTTTTCAGTTCCCTTCGGTATGTACATATTCACAATTTAATTACAGGTTTAAATATATTTAAACAGAAGTATCTTCACACTGATAAGCTCTAGTACACTAATTGATGTATTAAATTGAGCAAAATTGAGCTAAAAGAGCCATTTTGGTCTACCAACTGCATATTTAAAAACTTAAAATATTATTATAGTTGTTAAAAAATTAAAGATTTTACATCATCAGATTGTTAATATAGGTTTTCAGATTGTTAATATAATGTAAAATTTTAATCATAGAATCATATGATTCTATGATTAAAATTTTACATTATATTAGCAGTCTGAATTAGGCTGTCTTGAAACAAAGACTGGAAATGTATAGGTTTTAAGGCCAGAAGGGATCATTATGTTTACCCAATTTGATGATCTGAGTAAGACAATGGAATTTCACCCAGTAATTCCAGCATCAACTGAGTATGTTGTGAGTAAGCTACACTTTAACATCCAATTAAAAAAAAAGTCCATAGTGAAAAATGTGCAATTCAGAGGTAAGGCTCTATCTTTAAAGTGACACTGTCTTAACTCACCTGTTGTTAATAAGTATATTAGGTAAGCCTCATAGTGGAGTAAGATGACATGTTCACAGCACAACAGGATGACTTAAAGCAACATTATGAGGGGGTTATTTTTCTCCATAAATATTTCTATTTTTATTACAGTTAATTAAAAAGAATTTACTAAATCAGTGACTAATATTAATAAAGAATTGTATAAATTTGATATTTTGTTTCTACTCTGCAATCTTTGCAATATGATCAAAGTAAAACTTTAAGTGGGATTAATAATTTGTTTGGTTTTACAATTATTTACACCAGAAATTATGAATCATGGAACAGAGATAGAAGAAGATATTTGATGATCATGGGAACTGCACTTTACCAAAGTTGTGTCTAAATCCACTGTGTTACATATTTATGAGAGAAATAAGACACACATACCCTGGGACCAACACAACCACAATAATACTATAAACAAATATTTATGTGGTGAACCTATATGTGTAAGAAGAAAAACATGGGGCTGTTTTTTTAATGCAAAATTGCTGTTATGAAAGTAATTTAAACTTTTATATTCTAACACACAAAAAAGCCAAGCTTGTTGAAATCATGTAACTTTCCTAACAAAAAACATTTTTGATAACACGGAGCTTAAATGTTTCACTGACAAAGTGCAATGAAATGATCTTTTACATTTATTCTTGCTGCAGGTGGTGGTGGAGTTACCTGCTGTATGTTTAAAAGAAAGGTATTGGGTTAAAAACTTTAAAAAATACAAATCTTACTAATGTTACAATCATTTTAGAATATTATAACAAAGGTTTTATGGCTTACTTTGCACTATATACGCTGTTTCTACTGTAATTTAGATATATAAATTCATTTCAAACTCTCTTTTGTTCTTAGTTTTAAGTTTTCTAAAGCCTGATTTTTTACAAAACCTAATTTTTAGATCAAATCTTAAAACGTTGTTAAATGTTTGAGGTATTTTAAGTACAATTGTGAATGCATAAATTGTTTCCTTCCGTACAAAAAAACCCCAATTATTCCCCACCATTAAAATGTTTTTAAATTTCAAATTGCAAGTACTAGAAATCTGCAATTTAAAAAAGATAGCTATAAAATGAGATAGGAAACTTCATAGCCCACCTTTCTTTTTGACTGGCATTCTTAGTCTTACTTCCGGTACTGGATGCAAGTGCTTATTTACTGGTATCAATGATGTCCCACTAGAATCAGCTTGTAAGCCCAAGAACTAGGTATTTGTTCAAATTACTTAAACAGTTCAGTTAGGAAATAAAACTTCAATCTTCTTTTTTTCTAGCAGTACTCACTATTTCCTCCAAGTAAACTTCAAGTGCCTCCCACAGAAAAAGAAGTTTTGAATTTTGCAAGAGTGGTTTTCAATTTCTGTAAAATATTTTTGAATCTATAAAAATACAAGAGAAAAGCCTCCTTGGGATATAAAACCCTATAATAACTCCTCTTCTGGCAGCAAAAGTTTGTCAGTTACAATTTTATGTAAGACGATTAAGGCACAATCCATCTCTAGGCAGCTGTCATAATATTCCACCTGAACCAGTTCAAAGCCATCTGAATTTCAGGACTAAATTCACAAATAATCCAAATAAATTTCTGGTGGAGAACAAAAGCAATCAAAAATAATTGTCCAAACTCCTTTCACTGGAATTTGGGTGAATGTTGCTAGTTATGTACAGCTGTACTGGGTGTATACACAGACTGAAAAGGTTCCCTTTTTCATCACTGCAAAGATGCTTTCAAATCTCTCTCTTAACCAACAGAAATCACTCGCCAGTCACTTTCATTTTTATTCTCTCCAAGCCACCCAGCCTTATGGTCTTTAATGTCCCTCTGATCCTCCCATATACTGTATTAAAAGAGAGGATTGAAAAGAAGGAAAGCAATCCCTTGCAATGGAATTATTAAAGTGACAGTTCTGCTCACTGGGCACTTTGGCAGAGCAGATTGTGTTATTCTGGAGCCATTTACTTCATGCCATTTCTTTCCTTGCAAAGCAGCCGCCTAATGAAGGAGGAGCAGAGAGGGTTTGGAGCACAACTTCACAAAAGGTTAATTTTCAGAGATGCTGCAGTATCGGTGGAATAAAGAAAAAAGCAAGCCATGAAATGAGTCCAGAGTTTCCACACACAAGGGCGCAGCTGGTTGGCCTCAGTATAAGCCCTTCTCTCCCCCTTGATCAGCAGAAGAGACGAATTTGCCCCCATCTAGATTGTTAAGAAAGGTATGAAAATGTCATGCAGCCTCCAAATGTTTCCCTGCATGCATGAGGAGCCGTGGTGCATGTTACATAACTGCTTTGCATTTATCTTCTAAGAAAGATGGACACTGTGTTTGGGGGCTGTTCTGTTCTGCTCTTTAACGTTCACCATTCGGACCGGGACCTCTCGCTCTCTGTTTCCCACCACACAGACAAATCTTTCCCCTCGTCCTCGTCGAGGGGGGCTCGTCAGGTCTGTTGCGGTGAGTGTAGGGCGGCCCCGCTTGGTTCTGGACCGCGGGGAGGTCAGGTGAGGGGGGAGAGGGAGCGGGGCAGGGGCGGGACTGGATGAGGAAGGTGGGGAGGGAGCCGGGAGCTGGCAGGCGGCTAAGCGAGGCGGCGAGACGGTAGCGGCTGGGCGGGAGGCACCGCGGGCAGCGCCTAATGGGATGCTGAGGCCTGGGGCAGATGAACGGCCGCAGACTCCGCCCGTGTCAGCCGATTACCCCGAGGGCTGAGGGGCCCCCATTGAGGACACGGCTAAGGGGAGTCTCCGCATCTCCAGCTGCAGGGTCCCGGCTCAGCCCCGTCTCCATGGAGGAGCCGCCGATGCCGTCGCCATCCTCCTCCCCTAGCAACGAGAACCGGGCCCACCACCGATCCCGCCCCCTCCAATGGCGTAGCCATTCACGAGTCTCCATGCTGGGCCTGCGGGGCCCGCCCAATCATCGACGCCTTCCGAGCGCGTGCCGGGACAGCTTCACCTCGATCATGTGACTGGACAAGATGGCGGCCCCCACAGGAGGAATGTGACGGGGAGGGGCCATGTGTGGGGCCTGTACGGTTAGGACTTCCAGCGGCGAAGGAGCTGTCGCAGGCTGGCTGTGGGGGGACACAAGGTAAGAGAGGGGCAGCGGGGCATGACGCTGCTTCACAGAGCCTGGAGGGACCTCCTGAGACAGACCAAAATCGCATCTGGCCAGCTCCAAGGCAGAAGCTGAGCAGCACGGGAGAAACCTGGCCTCAAGGTCGAGCTGGGTCTGCGATAGGATGAGAGATAAGTTTGAAGTGGGACCCTGGCCACACAGCCGCAGGCGCCACTGGGCTAGTAGGCTAGTGATGCATGAAGACATGGACAGCAAAAGACCTTAAAAAGGGGGAGTGTAATGTCAGAAAGGGGACCTACACAAAAATGAGGTTAGTTCAACAAAAATTAAAAGGTACAGTGACAAAAGTAATATCCCTATAAGCTGAATGGAAACTTTTCAAAGATACCATAACAGAAGCCCAATTTAAATGCACCTCAAATTAAAAAACACAGTAAAACAGGGATACACAACTTTGGAAGCCCTAAAAACCACGGTGATACTCTCAGTACATGCTGAGGGCTGCAACTTAACAAGTGTGGTTGTAAATAGCTTTTCACACTGTCAGGCATGAACACAAAGATTAAGTCAAGACTACACAACGGCCGGGCCCCATTTAAGTCAGTTCTGCTGATATTAATAAAATGCAATATTTACCTGATTTCCACCCATATGACAACACTTTCAATGAGCAATGACAGTCCAGGAATTTAACTACTAAAAGGCATAGCAACAGAAGACCATTATATTGACTCACCATTGTGAAGCATGTTCCCAATGGAAGCCATGTTCAAAGGATCTACCTGTGGACTGCATGTTGAGCCCCACGTAAACCCAAACTGCACCGTGGACTGCAAACAAACAAGTCACAGGCTGCGTGTTCCCCTCGGGCTGCTTGTTGAGTAGCCCTGCAGTCAGAGAACCAAAAAAGTGCACCCATGGCTTGGCTTAACCAAGTTAAAGAAATAATAAGAGATAAAAAGGCATTATTTAAAAAGTAGAAGTTAAATCCTAGTAAGGAAAATAGAAAGGAACATAAAATCTGTCAAATTAACTGTAAAAATATAAGAAAAACCCAAAAAGGAGTTTGAAGAACAGCTAGCCAAAAAATCAAAAAGTAATAATAAAATGTTTTTAAGTACATCAGAAGCGGAAAACCTCAAGATGCCAAAGGAGCACTCAAAGATGATAAGGTCATTGTGGAGAAACTAAATGAATTCTTCGCTTCGGTCTTCACACCTGAGGATGTAGGGAAGATTCTAAAATGTGAGCCATTCTTTTTAGGTGACAAATCTGAGGAATTCTCACAGATTGAGGCGTCATTAGAGGAGGTTTTAGAAGAACAGTAACAAGTCATTGGGACCAGATAGCATTCACCCAAGAGTTCTGAAAGAACTCAAATATGAAATTGCAGAACTATTAACCGTGGTTTGTAACCTATCCTTTAAATCAGCTTCTGTACCTAATGATTGGAAGATAGCTAATGTGACTTCAGTATTTAAAAAGGGCTCCAGAGGTGATCCTGGCAATTATAGACCAGTAAGTCTAATGTCAATACTGGGAAAATTAGTTGAAACTATAACAGTGGTCTCCAATCTTTTTAAGCACAAAATCACTTTTTGAATTTAAATGCAATCCAAGATTTACCTCAAATATAAATACCCTTGCCCTGCCTCCTTCCTGCCCCTTCTCTGAGGCCCTGCCCCTGCACATTCCCTACCCCCTCCTTCCCCATCCTCTCTCCCTTTCACTAGGCTGAGATGGAGGGTTGGGGCACAGGCTCTGGTCTTGGATTAACAGATTTGCAGTGTGAGGGGCTCTGAGCTAAGCCTGGGGCAGGCAGCTGGGATGTAGGAGGGGGTTCTAGGTACAGGCTCTGGGAGGGTGTTTGGATGCAGGAGTGCTTCGGGTTAGGGCAAGGGCTTGGGGTGTGGGAGGAGGTTTATGACTGGGGTAGGGTTTCAGGATTTGGGCTCCAGCTGGGCACCAGTTACCTCAGTTGGCTCCTTGCTGGTGGTGCAGTGGGACTAAGGCAGGCTCACCCCTGCCCTGGCCCTGTACCACTCGATTAAGCAGCCAGCAAACTCCTTCCCAAGTCTTGTTGTACCCCCTCTGTTCTTTGTGGAAAAAGGTTATAGAGTGGGAGGGGGCACCTTGACATGAGTACCTCTTCTCTCCCTCCTCTGTATAAAAAGAGGAAGCTCCTGAGGGGACAGCTCCAAAGCAAAGGGCAGGAGATGTACAGCAGTGCGGGGAGGAGCAGCTGAAGTGCTGGCACTTGATAGCCTCTTGGCCAAACCAATCAGGATCACCTGTTAGAGACTCCAAGCTCCATCAGTAGATCCAGATCTACTGGTTGGTAACCACTGAACTACAGTAAAGAATTAAAGTGTCAGACACATAGATGAACATGTTGGGGAAAAGTCAACATAGTTTCTGTAAAGGGAAATCATGCCTTACAAATCTGCTAAAATTCTTTGAGGGGGCCAAGAAAGACAGGGATCCAATAGATATAGTGTACTTACATTTCCAGAAAGCCTTTGACAAGGTCCCTCACGAAAGGCTCTTAAGTAAAGAAAGTTGTCATGGGATAAGAGGTAAGGTCCTCTCATGGATTGATAATGGGTTAAAAGACAGGAAACAAAGGGTAGGAATAAATGGTAAGTTTTCCAAATGGAGAGTAGTAACTAGTGGGGTCCCCCAAGGGTCTGTCCTGGGACTAATCCTATTCAAGTTATTTATAAATGATCTAGAGAAAGGGGTAAACAGTGAGGGGGCAAACTTTGCAGATGATACCAAACTGCTCAAGATAGTTAAGACCAAAGCAGACTGTCAAGAGCTTCAAGAAGATCTCACCAAACTAAGTGATTGGGCAACAAAATGGAAAATGAAATTTAATGTTGATAAATGTAAAGTAATGCACATTGGAAAAAATAATTCCAAATCTATGCCCAATATGATGAGAACTAATTTGGCTACAACTACTCAAGAGAGAGATCTTGGAGTCACTGTGGATAGTGTCATGATTATGAGGGTTAACCAGCAGCCTGGGGATTAAGGGGTTAACTACTCCTAGCCAGGTGGAGTGACCAGTAGGAACGTACGTGGGACTTTCAATCTGGGACAAAGGAATTTGGGTTTTTTCCTTTGTCCTTTTGTCTCTCTGTGAGAGTTCTCTGCAGCTACAGAGAGGGACAAGCATGTCTCTCTCTCTCCAAGACACCATTCTTCATTTTCTGTACGTAGGGTAAAGTTTAGGTAGTTTCGTTAGGTTTTATTGTTTTAAGGATTGGGTATGGGATCTGAGATCTGGCACTCCTTAAAAGATGTTTTGGCTTTTCTTTATAACTAAGTTCTAGGCCCATGGAGTTTCTCCATGGCTACATCTACACTGGCCCCTTTTCCGAAAGGGGCATGCTAATTTTAAACTTCGTAATAGGGAAATCCGCGGGGGATTTAAATAAAGATGTCCGCCGCTTTTTTCCGGCTTGTAGAAAAGCCGGAAAAGAGCGTCTAGACTGGCCCGATCCTCCGGAATAAAGCCCTATTCCGGAGGATCTCTTATTCCTACTTTGAAGTCACAGGGTAACTAGAGGTCCCATGAGATGGAATTTCCTGCTTGAGGCAATATTGTGGCAAGTTGTTTTCCCTCTTTCCACTGCTCACTCAGGAATTTTACACCTTTGAGAGAGTGGTTGACATGGCCAAGTTTTCATATGTCATCCTCAGCATATCTTCTAAAGTGTGAAGGAACTCAATGAGCAATCTCACAGAGTAGATTATGTTTCATGTGTGTAGCTGCAGTAGCCATTATCTTTGATGGTACTGCTACAATATGAATGCAGAGTTTGAGTGCCATTCACCAAGGGTACATCTACACAGTAGAGCTAAAGTTGAATTAAGCTACGCAATTTGAGCTATGAAATAGCTTAGTGGTGGCAGCGGAAGTTTTGTTCCCAAGATCTAGGTTTTTAAGATTTTGGGGGAAGTTTTATACCAAAGCCTGGTAGATAAGGCTTTGGGGTACACTTGCTGGCCCCCACTTCTGCATTTATCATGCCAGAGTGGGGAAGGAGCCATGACAGATAGTTCTCTGGAAACATCCACTGAGTGTACAGCAGCAGTCAAAAAAAGCAAATAGAATGTTAGGAATCATTTAAAAGGGGATAGAAAATAAAACAGAAAATATCTTATTGCCTCTGTATAAAACCATGGTACGCTCACATCTTGAATATTGTGTACAGATGTGGTCTCCTCAGCTCAAAGAGGAGAGGAGGTTCAGAAAAGGGCATTGGAAAAGGTTCAGAAAAGGGCAACTAAAAAGATTAGGGGTTTGGAATGGGTTCCATATGAAGAAAGATTAAAAAGACTTGGACATTTCAGCTTAGAAAAGAGGAGACTAAGGGGGGATATGATAAAGGTCTATAAAATCATGACTCGTGGAAAAAGTGAATAAGGAAAAGTTATTTACTTATTCCCACAGTATAAGAACTAAAGGTCACCAAATGAAATTAATAGGCAGCAGGTTTAAAACAAACAAAAGGACGTTTTTCTTCACTCAGTGGTCTTGGCAGAGGAGGTTGTGAATACCAAGCCTTTAACAGGGTACAAGACAGAACTAGATAAATTCACGGAGGTTAGGTTCATCAATGGCTATTAGCCAGGATGGGTAGGAATGGTGTCCTTAGCCTCTGTCAGGCTTGGAATGGGTGATGGGAGAGGGATTGCTTAACGGGGAGGCTGGGGAATGAAGGTAGAGGCAGAGCCATTGTGCCCTCACTTGGGAGGTTATTACTGAAATCTTGAAAGTTAAAGAACAGTATAATTAGGTGCAAGCAAAAACAACTCTAGTTATAAAGTCTCAAAGGGGTAACCGTGTTAGTCTGTAACTTTCAAAACGAGTAGTCCTGTGGCACCTTAGGCTATGTCTACACTACCAGGTTATTTCAAAATAAGTTCTCAAAATAATAACTTTCAAAACAACTATTTCAATATAAATTTATTCCTCTTCACAAGCAGGAGTTATTATTTTGAAATAACAAGATCATTATTTTTGAAGTAGTGTGGATGCTCACCTTGTTATTTTGAAATTAGGAGAGTTATTTCAAAGTAACTCCCTAGTGTAGACAAGCCCTGAGAAACTAACAAAATATATAGTATCATGATTAAAATCCACCTCATCACATGAGCTGAAAGCTCTAGTTATGTGACTAGTGTTAAACAAGGAGTCAGATTTGTTTGTTATGCTCAGATTGAAGTGAGATAGTTAACACCTGCAAAACACTTTATGAATTCTCTGTGTTCTCTTCAGCAGCTCTTCACTAAGTAGAAACAGGAGTGGGCCAGGTCATCACGCTCTTCAATATAAGTTTGGGGATATCATCTGAGAGAAAATTTACAGCCAATTTATAAGTCAGGTGGCTCAGGAAGAAAGTTTGAAGGCTGACGTTATCTTGTTGTTCAGTAGACTCTCATAGGTATGAACACGGTAGGAATAGAGTTTGTAATTCTGAAATATTCCTAACACTGAACAAAATATTAATGTTTTTCTTTTAAGAGTTTTCAACTGAGCATTGACTCATGGTGGTTGTGGACTCTTCATCATTGGAGATTTTAAAGAGCAGGTTATAACAACACCTCTCAGAGATGTCCTAGATGGTACTTGTTCCTGCCATGAGTGCAAGGGACTGGACTTGATGGCCTCTTGAGGTTCCTTCCAGTTCTATGATTCTGTGACTTAATATGCCTTTGAAACTTTAGTATGCAGAAGAAAAGTGCTGCTTTCCCTTTGTTTGGTAGTTTCATTTAACATATCTAAATTTTTGTTAGTCTCTAAGGTGCTGCAACTTTAGGAAACTCTCCCCACTGCTCATCCTTACCTTTATTTAAAACTAGGAGATTTACTCCATGTTGCTCAGGTGCATAACTATTAAGTTGTTTGTTTATATACAAGGCAAATGTACATGCTTTATTTAAATGATTGTATTTTAAAAAAATACAGTATTTTTTATGAAGTTAATTGTCATTTTGAGTTTATTAAAAAAGGAATTGTTAACATTTGTGTCTTTAATTTTTTTAATATTTTTAAATGGGAATTCCATCAAGTGTATTTTTTTCTTCATTCCTATAAACGCTTATCATTCACTATGTTTTAACAAAAAGGCTATAATCAATTTTGTGTACAATAACATTGTCTTCTAATTTTCAGACTGCAAGCATTGATTTAACGTAAGGGTTTGGTTGTGCCAAAACAGCGTACTACTCTAAATTTCTTTTTTTTAATCTCTGAGATTAACTGACAATGCAATCTTATTCCAGGTTCATCCTGTTTTTCTGGCTCATCTTGATTCAGTCTCTTTTAACATTTGCTCAGTTATGTGAATTTTGAGGAATGTACTTGATTTGGTGATTCTGTCTCTTGTTTGGTATTATGAGAAGCAACTCCATTCCAGGCACATCCTGTTTTCATGGCACAACCAAACCCTTACGTTGTTGAAGTTATGATCAGAGGAAGCTGTATACTGAATTTGGTGGTCTTAGCTCCTACCTTTTAGGAGGAGTTCTTGATAAAAACAAACTCTGTAAAATATATAGTAGATAGCACAAGTGCATCAACACTGATAGTTTGGTTTAAACAAAATCCTTGCAGTATCTGAACCTATTAGGGATGTTAAATCAAGCAATCAATGGAATTTCCATCAACTACTCGATTAGTTGATAAGGGGGTTCACTGTGGCTCTAATTTTTAAATGTATTAAGAGTTCTGCTCTTATTACGTTTATAAAGCAGAGACGCAGTGTCTGGGACCCGGCGTGAGCTGGGACTGCTCAGTCCCGGCTCATTCCATTTTCTCCACTGTACTTCTGCCTCCCGCGGAGACATTGCTGGGGGGAACCGGCATTTAAGCTGGACATTTTTAGCTGGATCATATCCTTTCAATCTCTTGAGGGCTTTTACATTCTTGAGACATTAAGCATTGTCATGCAAAAAATCTAGTTATGTTGTTGAAGCATCATTTAAAACACAAAACTTTTGTTTCTCACTCTATGAACCAGAGCCTCAAAATGGAACGAAGAGAGCTTGAACTAAATTCACCACAGGAAAGTCCAAGTCTTCGCCATATCACACGAAAGGAAGTTCTTCTAAAAATGTTTGCTCGACTTCCAGAAGCAGATCAGTAAGTGATGTTCCTGTCTTCATATATTTTACCAACTAGTGTTTGTGACTTTCTTTTTTGTTTTTCATTTCCAAAGATCTTGAATTGCATTTGAATTGTAAATGGTGACTTCAGGGAAATAGCTAAACTAGCTAGAGCTCAATGTTTTCTTTACTTTAAAGGGAATCCCCTTGCACTGTCTAGCCAAATCTCAGGTGGTACTATGAAAGGAGATGCAGAGTGCACTGAACTGCTATATCCCTTTCCCACAGGTGGATGGGAAATGGAGAAAAAACATGTTCCACTCCTTCCAGCACATGGAATGGCACAGCTACATTGTCTACTCAGGGAGAATATGCTCTGCCCAGTGTAAGCTCATGCATCATTCCCTACCCAGAACAGCAGGGGAACCAGGAGGAATATTGTGGCAGAGGCATGATAAATCCCTTATATTGGAGCTTGTTGCTAAGCACTTAGTTGCTCTACATCAATTATATATATATTTTAGACTTGTGCATCTGTCTGTCTGTGAGTCTTTGTTCAAGAATGTCTCATAAACGATAAGAGCTAAGACCACTAAATTTGGTATGCAGCATCCTCTTCTCCTAACTTAAAGTGAGGTAAGGGTTTGGTTGTGCCAAGAGAACGAGAGTCCCAGGAATTGGGCTTTTTTCCATATCATGGCAAGGGAAGGACATAGAGAGGAGGGATGCAATACTGAGAGTGACCACTGGGGGCAGCATATCACCAAGACAATGGCCAGCAGGAGTGGGTTCCACCATTTTCCCTGTCATCAGACTGAATGCGTAGCTCCCCTTCTCCCCCCTGCCTCAAACCCCTCTCCCCTTGCCAGAGAGCTGGAGGTGGGGGAAGGCCTCTGCCAGCTGGGGCAGCCAGGGGCAAACAAAAGGCCCCCAACAGCTAGGGGCAGGGGGGAGTGTGAAAGCCCAATTGGATGGCTTACCTGCAGGAGCAAGGTGAGTTCTTGACCGACTTTAAGGAGTGTGTCTGTGTTCCTGGTTCAAAATGATCCCACCGCTCTACCATCATTTCAGGGCTGTTCCCCACTCTGGAACTCAGGCTATGTCTACACTGTAGCATTTTTGGAAGAGAAAATGCAGATGAAGCGCTCATTAGCATTTCTTGCGCTCTCATTTGCATAGTCTGTTCCGATCCGTTTTGCAGAAGAGGTTTTTGCAGAAAAAAACGCAGTGTAGACTGGAACATTTTGCACAAAAAAACCCTTTTGAGCTAGATCCTGTATACCTCCTTTTTTGAGGGATAAGGGATCTTGTACAAAAGGTTTTTTTGCACAAAATGGCCCCGTCTACACTGCGTTTACTCCTCATTTTTTGAGGAGTACAGAATCTGCCGAAAAAGCTCCCCGCTGTCGGCAGAGCCGCGGCTATACTTTACTTTAACTTTCGACACTGAGCCTGATCGGCACAGCGTCGGAACGTCAATATGCAAATGAAGCCTGGGATATTTAAATCCCGGGTTTATTTGCACTTCCCAAGTGCTTGATTTGCCTCCCTCTGTTGGCAGAGGGATGCAGTCTAGACATAGCCTCAGAGGCATGCAGATACACACAGACAGATGTTCCAGGATACAAGAATCAAATCATCACCTTAAAAGAAGTGATTTTTATTACAAAACAAAAGATAAAGTGTATAAAGCTTACTTGCTAGATGTTACAGAGCAATTAAGGAGAATAAATTAAAACAATAGAAAATCTCTGTCATAATGCTTAGATGGTAAAGGGGGAGCCGAGGCATAGATTCACACAGAGCAGTTCAAAGCAAACCACAAAATAAAGAAAAATTATTCTGAACGTGACTGAATTCACATTTCCCTGTTACTTACTTCTTATTTTCTCTTTGTTCAGTTCACTCCCATGCTCTGAATTCTGTGGGGGCATGGTAGTCCTGCCTGGGTTTAAATCATTCTGTATCTTTCAACTTCTGGTTTATCTCTCCCACACAAAGCAAGCCTGCAGGGAACCTATATCCAATTCAAATTGCAGCCCTCTATCTCGGGTTCTCCGGGCCCTCTGGCCAAAACCTTTCCTGACTACCTGAGTTAACCCCTTAGTCAGCAGGTGATGGTCAGTACACCTCCTGTTTATTACAGGACAGCAGGCTTCAACAGTGGAACTTCGGCTGTGTGACCCTGGGCTCCAATTACAGGGTAGCAGGTACTGAGGTAGCTCCGGCCATGTGGCCCTGGTCTCTAGGTACAGGCATTCAGCCTCTGGTCCCTGGTTCCAGCTGTGTGGCAGGCACTGGCCTCCGATTCCTGTTCCAGACTTCAGGTTTGCAACAGCGGGTATTGGCCCCAGGCACTGATGCCCATCTGCACGACAGCAAGTTCCAACCATAGGGCTTTGAGTGCTAACTACTAGCTCTGGATGTGGGGTTTTGACCCCTAGCTCCCAGTTCTGGCTGTTCTCCCAGGTGCCAAAACCCAGCCCTGGCCATAAGAAGCATGTTCTGACTGGGGCTTTGGGTGCCAACCCCTCGCTCCAGCTGCATGGTGGCATGTGGCCCTAGCTGCGGTGCGGGTCCCTTGTCCCATCTGCATGGTAGCAGGCACTGACCCACAAATGTGCACACGGCTGCCTGGAGCCCCAGCATCGGGCTGCCTGGTGGAACCACAGTAGCGATGGCTGCCCAGCAGATTGACAGGGCAGTGGAGATCCAGCTGGGAGGCCAATGATAGAGCTGGGGAGCTGGTGGCAGGGATCCAAAATGACCTCCTCTGGTCCAGAAAAATCCCTCATCCGGGACCAGTCAGGTCCTAAGGGTGCCGGACCAGAGAGATCAAACCTATAGTTAATATTGACTTGAAAAAAATGAACTGGGATCTAAAACCCTATATTGCTTAAGATGTGATTGCGCTTTTGCTGTTTAATGCCAAGGCTATGCTTCAATGTATTGGTCACTTTTTCCAGACAGCTTTTTGTGTGGGGGTTTCTCACATAACCTAGGGTTTTTTATTAGAACGCTACCTAGGGAAGCACAAATGATCATTACTTTTACTGTACCAAATCAGTTATTCCTTCAAAAGTGTATTTTTACCGCTGTGAATTGCATATAACTTTTGTCTGGATATGCATTTGGCCCCCTATAACTGTTGAATCTCAGTTTTAGAAGATAACCTTTCATAAGAATGGCCACACTGGGTCAGATCAAAGGTCCATCTAGCCCAATATCATGTCTTTCAACAGAGGCCAATGCCAGATGCCCCAGAGAGAGTGAATGGAATAGGGAATCATCATGCAATCCCTCGCCTGTCAGCCATTCCCAGCCTCTAACAGAGGTTGCTACCCATCCTGGTCTAGTCATTGATGGCCCTAACCTTCATGAATGTATCTAGTTTGTTCTTGAACCCTGTTAAAGTCCTGGTCTTCACAATCTACTCTGGCAAGGAATTCCACAGGCCGACTGAGCACTGTGTGAAGAAAAACGTCCTTTGTTTTAAACCTGCTACCTATTGATTTCATTTGGTGACTCCTAGTTCTTACAATAGTCAGGAGGATTTATTGCCATGTTGTCCAGACAGGCCTCTCCTCTGTCGATGATGGTAACCAGAAGGCTGCTTGCATGTGTGCTCAATGATGTGGGCCCAATGACCACCGCAGACCTCAAGAGGGCCCCCAAAGACCAAAAATCAGATAAGGATCAAAAGTGTCCAACGGGTTTATTTTTAAGCAAAGTACAGTAATAGTTGTCAGTAGACTCCATCAAATCACTACACACATATACTTACAACAGTGGCCTCAGCACAACCAGTGGGAAACTCCCACTGCTCCCCAGCTGGACAAAGTGTGTCTCCCCAAGACACCACATTTATATACATGTGCAAACAAGTTACACTACTTAGATACCCACCCATCACCCTGTATCTGAGGGCTACTCAGCATGCGGCCCATTTGTTTGCACTGCAGTTTGGGTTTACGTTGCGGCTTGGGTTAATATGTGTTTTAGTAGTTAAATTCCTCAACTGTTGTGAAGCCAAAACGGAAAAGTACTCCATATAATGGTCTTTTGTTTATATGCATTTTAACAGTTGAATTCCTGGACAGTTATTGCTCATTAAAAATGCTTTCATATGGGTGGAAATCGGGTAAATATTGCATTTTATTAATATCAGAAGAACTGACTTAAATGGGGCCTGTGTATTGTGTAGCCCTGCCTTAATCTTTGTATTCATGCCCATCAGTGTGAAAAGATATTTGCATGTATATGCAACCACACTTAAGTTATGGCCCTCAACGTGTGCTGAGAGTATCATTGTGGCTCCTGGGGCTTCCAAAGTTGAGTAGTCCTGCTGTACCTCGTAATTTGATTAGAATGATTATCTCTATCCATTATGCTATCATTTTAGACCCTTTCCTGAACCTGGGTCTGTATCTGTGGGGAGCATGTACCGAGGTCTTTTTTAATGAGCTTGTGGTACCATATGCTTTCAACTTATGACCAGTACAAATTATTTTTCTACACCAGGGCCTATTACCAATTAGTGTTTTGCACTCTAACCCGTTTGTGCCAAGTTCTGTTAGCAGGGGCCTGCCTCTTGCTTAAAGCTTAGCTTTGCTTTGTTAGACATGTTTTGTCCATTGTTAGCTAGACCTGAGGCCTCAAAGCAGGCCTGTGCTGCATGGGCTTTTGTTTTAGGCTTTCGTCTCACTAAACTTCTTGTGGGAACAAGTAAATAACTTTTCCTTGTTCATTTTTTCCACATCAGTCATAATTTTATGGATCTCTATTATATCTCCCCACTCCGCTTAGTCTCCTCTTTTTTAAGTCCCAGTCTTTTTAATCTCTCCTCATATAGGACCCTTTTCAAACCCCTACTCATTTTTGTTTGTTTTCTGAACCTTTTCCAACGTCAATATATCTCTCCACATAATTCACTTGACCAATTGTGCATACTTCAAGTTTACTTAGTTGTTCTTTCCTAATCCTCACCACTATCACAGTACAGGGCAGGGAATACTGTATTGGTTGCTTCTGAAAGTAGGAGGACTCCACTTTAAATAATCTTCAGAGTTGTAATTTAATATAGTATGTTCATAAAGATATGATAGCACTAAACAAATGTATTTTCTGTACACCACATAGTTGCTGAAATTTTTGACCTACTTTTTCCCCTCTTCCCAGGAAACTCTTAGAACATGGATCATACTTCATTGGAATAAACGGAGGCTTTTGTGGTTTAATAGCGAACAGTTTTTTCAGACGTATCCTAAATGTCACAGAGGCTCGATTTGCTTCTAGTTTGCCAATGGCTGTACTTCCATTCCTCACAACAGCAGCAGTTTACCATGCTGCTGTAACAGTACCTTTACTTTCAGGTACATTTTTTTAATTCCTTATGAAGTGCACTGTTTTCAATGCTTTCATGTCATAAAAACTGTCAGCATGTTTTATGTACAGTTAGTAGGTGAGGCTTGTTGTTGATCGGGCAAAGTCATTTTGGGTAGATTACACTTATAGGAAAGTTCAATAATTAAACATATGTAATAGAATTGTTATTAATGTGCTTGCAAAAGGAAGTAAAAAATGTTTTACATTTGTAGGATTTCAACTTCAAACATTCATTTTATTGAATAATTACCGTACATAGTAAATTTGAATCAGAAACTCGTCAAGCTTCCATTACTCTTTCCGTAACTAATTTGAATTATTTTGTGATTTATAACAGTAAAAAATTTCTTTGCACTAAAATAGAGGTGGGCAAGAGGCCACTAGCTGGTCAGATTTGGCCCACGGCTGCCTCACCAGCACCCTTACTACAGAGCAGCTGCAGCCGCTTTAAATAGCAGGCTGCTAATTGCTATTGTGGAAGAAAACATTGTCCTCACTTTGCATTTGTAAGCAACAAGTAGCCAGAGGCAGTTTTATTATGAGCTGCAGCAAGGGAAAAAATGATTCAGATGGGGGGGGGGGGGGGAAAAACCCCCCCCCCCCCTTTTCCAGGCAGATCTTCGAATACAAGCAATTATGAAGCAGTTTATATACTGTCCATTAGATATAATAACAATTAGTCTCCTTCCCATTACAAACACCAATGGCTAACAGTTATTTTGGTTCCACCCAGATGCTCCTTATCTCAAGGTCCCTGCCAGAGTCAGCATTCTATCCTTATCTCCGTATGGAGGCGAAGACAGCATCTTATTATAGCTCTTGTGTTGTCAAGAGTCAGAATTAGCTTACTCTTGCTCTCTTGCTAACAAGACCAAGATGGCTGCACACAAATTCCCTTTTTCCTGCTTCCACGCTATGCAGTCTGGACAAGGAGGTGAAAGTTTTGTGCGCTGTCTAGGGATGTAATAGTGTAGTTGATTAACTGTTAAGTAAAAGGTTATAGGTTAATGCTATAGACTGTACTCATTTCCCTCCCACTTCCCCCCCTTGCCAGTAAGTTTTTTTAGCAGGCTGGCCAGCAGCCCAGCTTAGTCCTGGCTTGTGACAGGTCTGTGACCCACCCCTGCTGCGGCGCTGCGTTTAAACCGTATTAAGAGCTGGGCAGGCAGATAGCGTGGCTCAGTTCTGGCTCGCACCGCCTCTGGGAGCTCAGACCCACTCCAGACAAGGACTGCTGCCACCCTGTGCTGCTGCCTCTTCATCAGAAGCAGCAGGACAGGGTTAACAAGCAGCCAGTCCACAAGGGGAACTGGTTTTTAAACTGGCTCCATTTGCAGACCAGCTCCCACCTGGAACCCTGTGCTGCTGCTGTGATAGAGGCAGCAGCGCAGAGTGGCAGGGGGCTCCTCAGGTGTCAGACCAGAGAGCACTGGCTGCCAGCCCTGCCTCTGGGGACTATAGAATAGTCAGCTAATTGATAAGAATTTCTGAGGTTACTCAACTATTCAATTAGTGGATATTTAATATCCCTAGCACTGTCCCTGCACTCTAGCAAAATCCCTCAGCTCCCATTGGCCAGTTTCTGGCCAATAGGAGCTGAGAAATTTTGGTGACAGCAGGGGCAGCAAATGAAGCCTAGTCTCTCCCTTCTCCCTGTGCTGGAACAGAGCCACATATGAAGGAGCTCATCCAGCACACAGGCAGGGAGCCTGTGTCAGGTTCTTGCAGAGCTGGCGGTTGAGAGCTGCCTAGGTAAGCACCTCCCACCCAGAGCCTACCTCTAGAACCCCAGCCCTTCTTCCCCAATACCTGCCCCCAAGCCACCACCCAAACCCTCTGTATCCCCTCTCCCCACCTCCTCAAGGTCACAATCCCCTCCCTTACCTTACGCCCCCTCTTACTCTCCTCCCCCAAGCCAGAGTCCTCTCCTGCACCCATACCCCTCCTGGACCCTGCCCCAGATCATAACCCCCTCCACCTACACTCCATGTCAGATACCACACTACCTCCTGCACCTTAGTCCTCTATCCCAAGCTCCCTTCTACACCCCATCCACTGTCCCAGAACCCGACCCCCCTCAACAGAAGTGTGGCCCTTGACCAATTACCAAAATCTTGGGAGTGGTCCCCTATTAAAATGTATTATCCATTCCTCCACTAAAATGACAGTTATCAGAGGGGTAGCCGTGTTAGTCTGAATCTGCAAAAGCGACAAGGAGTCCTGTGGCACCTTATAGACTAACTGAAGTGTAGGAGCATAAGCTTTCGTGGGCAAAGACCCACTTCGTCAGATGCATACGAAAGCTTATGCTCCTACACTTCAGTTAGTCTATAAGGTGCCACAGGACTCCTCGTCGCTTAAAATGACAGTTGAATAGGTAACTTGATTTTAATTTTCTTAGCAAATATGTTTATGAACTCTAATCAAAATAGTCATGACATTTTTTCTGATGGAAAAAAAATTATTTAAACCTTTAACCTAGCATATTCTGGTATAATAAGTAGTGTACTCGGCTAATTTATATGGCAGGGGTGAATTATTTTGTGATTCGTAACAGTAAAAATTGTATTTGCATCAAAATGATAGTTTAATAGGCCACTTGATTTTAATTTTGTTAGCAAATATATTTTATGAACTCTAATCATGACTTTTTTCAGATGAAAAATAAAAATAATTATGTAAACATTTCACCCAGCATATTCTGGTATAAAAAGTAGTGCATTCCACTAATTTAAGTGGCAGGATTGTTTATGCAAAATTTGGTATCTCTAGGTAATTGCAAAGTATGACTATTTTGCACAAACAAATCCACAAACAAACTGTTCAAAATATATAATACGTATCAGGAAAGCTTATGCTATTTCCAAAACAGTGAAGCAACGTTGTGTTGAAAACCTCACCTTGTACATGAACTTCCAGGTGCACAGAACACTGTCAAAAGACAACACTTTTATATTTATGCATATGCCAAAAGTAGGGGATTAAAGTGTAGGGATACGGATGGAGCCGATTTTTCTATGATGAGCTTCACTAATTTTTGAACATTTTACTATCAATGCTTCTGTCTTTCCAACTCCTTTGAATCAGTAATCTTTGTCATCCTGGTAATTCAATTTATAAGACACCTACTTGGCTTCAGTTTAGGTGCAATTACAGCAATACAAATTGGGTTATATTTAATTGAACTCTAGAGAGAGTGCTATACAATTGGTAGAATCTTCTGTTTAATCTCTTTAGTTGCAGTTCAGTATGACCATTTCTGCTGACAATACATTTTAAAAAACCTCAGGTTAAAATGTAACAGCAATGTAGATACTGTATTTTAACTGTGAAATGACTTGTCATTTAGGTGATCTAACATGTGCAACCTGTGCCATGGTCAGAGGAGGATTAATTGGATCTGTTATAGGTGGTCTATATCCTATTTTCTTGGCCATTCCTATAAATGCAGGACTTGCAGCCAGGTATGTGAAAATTGTGTCAAACTTCTGTTTCGTGTGACAGATTAATTCTACATAGTCCTTATCAAAGCACATGTGTCTATTTAAATCTTTTTGGATATTCATAGTAAAGAGAGTTTTAAGATGGAACAAGTAGGATTGCAAAATAATCTTTGGCAAAACAATTGCTATCCAACCCCATACTGGTTGTATAAGGAGTTCTACAGGTGAGTGGGATATGTGTTCTGTAGGAAAACCAGAGTTCCCTGAAATGTCAAACCAAATGTTTGAAGGTCTTTGAACAGAAGGTGGGTAACTAAACATACTTCTAACCAGTTGGAACTGAGGCTAGAGAGGCAGGCATATCTCAATATTGATTCCCTTCCATGATTCTAAGCAAATTAACACTCTGCCTCCACTTGACAAAAATGAGGGTAATAGTCACCTCTTGGGGTATTCTAAGGACTAATTTGTAAAGCACTTTGAAGATGAGCCTTATTATAAGTATTTATATTGTATTTCTAATCCAGAATACTAGAACACTGGTTCCTAGTACCCAAATAAGCTTGTACGTCTACACAACAATAAACCCATGGCTGTCTGAGTCAGCCTCAGGGTGTTCTTCCATTGCTGTATAGACTTCTGGCTTGGGCTAGAGACAGAACTGTGAGACCTAAAATTTGGGCTCCAGCAACGAAACATCCCTCCCTAACCTTTCATCCTGAGGTCCATGAGCCTGAGTTGGCTGGCATGGATCAGCCAAAACCGTCAGCTTTGTTTTGTATATGCACTCTCTACTCCCAACACCTAAACTTTGTGTAATAATTAATAGGGGACTTTTTTATGGTTGTGTTCTATACAGGTACAGCTCTGCTCCCTTGCCTGGAAAAGAGAATATGTTACACTTCTGGATTAAAGTTTCTAAACCAGTCTTTAAGAAGATGAGTTATGCTATACTTCTGCAGGCTGCATTTGGAATTTACCTCAGCTCAAGGGAGTATGGAATATTTATGAAAATGCTCCAGTTGACTGAACCAAACAGCAATCCTGAAGAACTCAAAGATTAAAACTGAAAAAATATCACCTCTTCCCCTGATTGGGGGGGTTACCACAATAAACCGTGAAACTAGAAAAGAAAGTGGTTTGTGGGATTTGTTTTAATACACAACATATTGTCTATTTTATTAAATTAGAAACTGAACCAGAGGATTTTGTTGTGTGCTACTTTTAGAGAGGAAATGCACAATCCAAACACTTTTTTAGAAAGCACAGTTCAGTGATTATTTATGACCCCTACTAACTTATACAGCAAAGTTTGAGCAGTTCTCCCGTTGTCAAGGAGTACTCATATCTTCCCCAAATGTACTATGAAATATATAAGCTGACTGTGTACCTGTCAAGTGAATCCAGAGGCAATATGTAGGACTAGGTCTGAAGAATTTCTACCTCCATTCATACTTAATTCAGTACTGAATTAGGGTCGTGGTTCATAGTCTTGAACTTAGTACTCTGATAAAGCAATTTAATACTTCTCTGGTGCCTCATACCTTTGACCTGCCTTATTTGAACACCTATTAAATCAATGGAAGTACACAAGTTACATGTATAACTGGATTTTCACTTACAAAGTTACAACCCAAAAAGCTATATTGGTGTGTAAGTTACTGTAACATAAGCATTGTATTTATTTTAGCTTCTAAGCCTCAATCTGTTCCAAGAACGTATCTAGATCAGTGGTTCTCAACCTGTGGTCCACAGACCCTTCATGGTCTGCAACAATACTGCAGGGGGTCTGTGGAAAGTTTAAAAGTAAGGATGGGGGCCCATCTACTTTCCAGAGTAGTAGAAATTTACAGATAGGCAAAGAAAGAACTGAGGTGTTTAAAAATATTCATTTTATATATTTTGACAATGGGATATTGGAAAAATCTATATTTTAATAAGTTAATTTGAATCTCGTTGCTTGATACCCCCCATAATTTCCTACAACTAATTTTAAACATACACAAATAAGGAGTTTAAAAATAAACATTGATATCCATCAGATATTAAACAAAAAGGAAAGTGAATAATTCCAAGCCTACTTACTAATAAAGAACAAGGGTCTATTTATGCCTATTACTACCCCCCTTACCTGTTAAGATGTAGGGGAAAAAATCCAGAACCAAAAATTCTTAAATACCCTGCTTGTGTGTTTCTTCCTTGTCTTTTATTGAAAGACAAAGTGGCAAGTTAAATTTACATTAATGTAAATTTGAGTTGTGAAATTTTTT